TAGGCTGTAATGCTGTCTTTTTTTTCGGAGAGGAAATTGGTTTGAAGGCTTTACAAGAACTGTGGATTTTAGAAAGTAGGTTAAAGACAGGATTGTTTGGAAGCGCCTACAATATGCTTAAGAAATCTGACACTATTCATGGTGACTGTTTAGGCTGCATTCATGGCATCAAAGAACAGGGATTCAATTATACTTGCTCCCCCTCAAATTTCGTTCTAACCTTTTCAGTGCTGTCTCTCTTCAGCGCCAAGTGGGTGGAAGAATTAAAAAATAAGTTACGTAGTACAGAAATTATGACTAGCAGAGTACAACTCCCTACAAGGCAAAAACACAAGCTTTTCCTGAATCAGATACTGACCAAAGATGGGAGAAACTTAGTTTACTTTGAGTGTTTAAACAAGATTAAAGGAAGCAGTGTCATGCAACAGCACTTCTCTATTTCTTTCATACCGACAGACATCATAAAAATAAAACCTGGGTTTTTTTTGGTTTTTTTTTTTTTTGAAGTCCATTGGCCAACTCAACTATCTAACTGATTTAGGATGAGCAATTCTTCTCAGGTTTAGCTCAGATTTTGACTACTCAACTGTGAAGGAGGCATCACAGGAACCAGCCTCGAGCACTTCTCATTCCCTCTGGTAGCCAAAAGCACTGCACTTGACTAAGCAAATATGTGATGGCTAGTTTAGTTTTCTTACTCTGAGGGGAGATCTCCAGCATCTTTGAGTGCACTAACTGTGAACTGCAAGCTGAAAGTTTTCTGGTGAGAGAAATGCAGTTGTTCAAGTATTCCCAGGTTAAAAATTCTGTCAACCTTTGTCAACCTGTGCTGCTTTAAATGGCACACACTGCACATATAAGTTGTAGGAAATGGTGGGAAATGTGCTAGTTCCTCAGATAAGGAAAGGTTTGTCTCTGTCAGAGATGATAGTTTATTTCCAGTTCTCATATAATTACACAGGACAGCAAGACATCAGTCCATAACCTGTTGTTAAGTCTCCTTCCCTCCTATGGGAACATAGATGTTCTGGGGCCTTCCCAATTTGGAGTCTGACTTCCTAGTGAGGAAGAGCAGGTAGCAGCTGGAGAGGAAGGCAGCACAGCAGGGAAGACTCAGAAGCTGCCCAGAGGAACCCCCTTGAAAGAGTCAGCAAATGTAAGAAGGGGGGCCATCCAAGTGCTGATGCTCTTGATTTTCTGCAAAGTTTGGGACAAGGTCTCTGGCCAAATGCTCTTAATGACCCAGGCCGCCAAGGGACAAAAGTGAAGCTCCTCCTACAGATCAGGATGGCTTAAAAGAAAGTAAAAGCTAACAAGAAATGACTGGCTTTCAAACAGGTAAGAGTCAAACTTTATTCCTGCCTGTGGTCACTAGCCTTGTCCACATCAACTGCGCAATGGGAGTGGATCTGTAGAGTGAAACTGTTGGAGCTGAACTCCTAGGGCCCACACTTGCACTCTGGGGTGACAAATACCTCATTCTAGCTCCAGTTTGGTCCAAAGCACAGAGCATTTGATAGCACTCACAGCTCATCCTCGCATTTAATGTGATCTGAAGGGCTCTAAGTGGGCACTCCTAACAGACTTGGATCAAAAGTGCACACCTGATTTCAACCAAAACACCAAAGGAAGTGCACAGATTAATGCTTTGGAAGACACTGAAAAATGGGATGATAAAGTCCATATTAATAATTGCACAAATTTGTGTAAAAAAATGCATAATTCACAAAATCTGCCCACATATGGGCAGATGGATTCTAAATAAAACCTTTCCCCTCAGGAAAGACAGCACGTAAACTTCCCTGAAAACTATTCACTGACAGACAACCAATAGAGCAAATGCTAGAAAACATTAGGATAGGACTACAGACCTAGAACCAGGACACAGTTGTCTGGCTCCTTTGGGAATTTACGTCTTGGATTTTGAATGTGATTCCAGGCAGTCCATCCCAAAAGGAACAGCTGATGGATCAGCTAACTGACTGAGGAGAGAAGTGGAAAGATGTGACTCTTACTAGCAGACTGTTCTTCAGTCTGCAAAGAAAAGATGGGCTTCAGTGGCAGGAAGAAAAGAAAGACTTTGCTCTAAAAATATAAATCATAGGGATATGATAACATATGGTGAATATGTGATACTAACATTAGCTGTTTTGAATATTACCAGAAGCAGAGGAATCCTTTAAAAAAGTTCTATGAAGCAAAGCAGTATTCCTCCAGAAGCTATGAATTACCTGTGGAACTCCCCATCCCAGGATAATGCGGAAGCCAAACAAATTCAAAGGGGGCTATTAAATGTAACAGACATGGATACAGCTTCTTTAGTTCAGAAAATTGCAAACCCCTGCAGTTGGGAAAGGACTCACTCTACAACTCACTCTCTACTGGTCCTAATTCCCACAGTCTTCCTGAATTTGGTACTTTGGCATTTATGGTATATTGTTAGGCAGGACACCTAGTTAGGTGCCTAACATGTCTTAACTGTGTCCTGCCTAAAATGTAACTAGTCCTAACATTTGAAGTTTCTGAGATAATACTGAACACCTCTCCTGGGAAATGGGACTGGTATGAGTTGTTAGCTGTTTTTATTCATTATATCAGTGTTTTTACATTCTTAATGCAACTGTTGGGGGAAAAAAAAAAGAGGGAAAGAGGGAGGAGGGGAGAGAATAACAAAAGATACGAGAACAAGGTTTTTTTTATTTGATTGTTTTTTCCTGCCACTGCTTGCAGCCCAGGTGTTAGAAGGATTCCCCCAAAAAATGACTGCCTATTTCAGAAATCTACCTTTATTTTGGGGGAAGATACTGTTGGGGAAAAGAATAGACGAAGAGAAGGCACATGGGTGAGGCAAATGTACTTTTAGAAGCTCTCCCTGTTTAGAGTTGCCTTCTAGCTTTCCAACCAGGCCAACACACACAAAGAGCACACACGTGTTTGCTGGGCCAAAAGCAAAAGAAAGAAATGAAGAGGGTGAGCCATGCTAAGAAATGAAGATTCACAGTTCTAATGTTTCTTTGGAAAAGGTTGTGGTAGGTCACTTGATTTACCATGCTTGGTACTAACTTATTTTGGAATGAGAGCAGGTTGGGAGAGAAGATTTGACCAAAGTAATGATAAATCATTGGCAGAAGAGAGAGATGGTTAAATAGGTGCTTCCTGGAATTTTTGTGCGGTAAGAAACTAGCTCACATGTAGTCGACTTCCTATTAAACAATTCACAGAGCTTCTCGTTTATAACATTTACTATCTGACTGCAGGGAATACAGAACAATTCCAGGAAATTCTGCAGAATCTTACTTAAAAAAATTAAACGTGTGCTTGTTGGGAGGAGACAGTTTCATAATCTCATCAACCTTCAACTTCTATACAGTTTTTGATATATACCAGCTAATAAAAGGGTTTATTTTCTATATGACACACACACACACACACACACACCCTGTTGCCACTTCAAGCTCAGATATTAAACTTTAGGAAAACACTGAGCAATATCGGGGGGAGAAGTGGCAGTGAAAGCATCATCTTCAGCTGATACATCCAAAACTAGCAGATTTGAAAACATTTATGATCTTTAATGCACTGAAATAAAGGGAAGCAAATGGAAAAAAAACAATCCCAGTCATATTAAGTTATCAGTTAGTGAAAATAAAAACTAGAAAGAACTTGCCACTCGATTTTTCTAAAGCTGTGATAAAATAAATCTTGGAGTTTTTAAAGCTTCTCTGAAACAAGTTAAAATTTTTCAGTATGTTGAAGCTGCTCGAACACGGCTCTGGATCAGTAAAGGTGCTGTAACTGCGTATCACTGTGGGCAGTTTGTTTTTCAGCCGGAGGAGATGTAACTACAATAGCTTAGAGAGCACATTTACAGGAGAAAAAAGGAGTTCAAGCTCATTCATAGAATTGCTCACACATTCACATATAGAGAAATACTACAAGCAGATTGAGTCTGTCATTTATCTCTCCATAGAACAAAGAGGTAAGATTATGTTACATATTCCGATTTACTTCCAACAGCTAAAGCCTTCATTTCTGTCCCTGCTGAATGACACCACATGGCTGTTTGGGGTCCCTGCCCAGTGACTTTGAACCTGGCCATAAGTTTCAGCTTGGACTGCAGTGGGCCCTTCCTACAAAGGAGATGAGGATACTGCCTGTCCTGGAAGAGGAAAGGTTGGAAATGGGAGCTAGTTTGGCTACTTTTCTTTTTTTCTCTCCTCTATGGTTTAGAGAAATGAGTTAACTAAGTCAACTAGGTGCCAGGGCCTCCCACATTCATTTCTCTGCATGTGGCAGTCACTTATTCAGGAGATGTTTTTCAAGAATTCCATGCTTTCACATCCATAAAAGGTTTTTGCCTCTCACAGTGTTGATTTATAAAGACGTATCAGTGATTGGATTAAATCAAGAGTTGATAAGAGATCTGAACCAAGAGCTGATAAGGGGTCTGAGGAGACTGTATCAGACCAGATTTAGCATCAAAGCTTTAGCAGCAAAATTTGATAGCTTAGAGATGCAATTATCTATTTTACTCCTGAACCCCAGCAACCATAGAATCATGGAATCCTTGAGGTTGGAAGGACCTCCAGAGATCATCCAGTCCAATCCCCTGCACACGCAGGGTCACCTGGAGCACGTGGCACAGAGCTCCTTGCGTCCAAGGGGGTTTGGAAGATCTCCAGAGAAGGAGACACGGATTCAGTTTTGTTGCAAGAACAGAGAGGTTGGGTGCCTGACCCACTCACACATTCTACGAAACCAGCTTACTGGCTGCACCTTCAGATATCCAAGCACCTCTGTAAATCTGGTCTTCAGATGCCTGAAACTCATTGCTAATCTGCTGTTACTGCCATTCATGAATTTTAACTCTCCTGTTTCTTCGTTTGTTTTCAAATATTCCTCTAGCCTTCCCTTATTGGGCTTCTGAACACACAAAGCAAAGCCAAGATCGGCCTTTGTGAGGAGAGGAACAGATAGCAACCAGGAAGGAGCTCACATACCTCTTATTGTGCATACCTTTGAGCACTTCATCGAGAAGGTCTCCTTGGAAGGATAATGCTGAGGTGGTAGGTCATAATATTCCTGTGCTGCTCCTGAGGTTTTATAGGAAAGGTCAGAGGGAACAGTGGAAGCCCTTGCATGCCGCCCACTCCGGATGTCTTCTACTGATCTGCAACAGCAAAAAGGGGTACGGTATGTTCACTGGGTCGTGCTCTCTCCTGAAGACTTGGACGTGTTACTAGAACTACCTGGCTTGCTTAACTTTGGCTGCTTGCATGCTTTGAAAGAAAATATACCCAACACGTGCATAAGTCCACGTTCATGAGGATATCTGCACTTGATCATTCATTTGTGTTTTAGAAAGTTTGGCAGTCACTAAGTTGAGTGCCTGAATTATCTGAGTTCTTTGCAAAAGGTAGCAAGGAGATGGGTGTGAGGGGAGCTCCTCTCCATAGACACGGAAAAACATTTTCTCATGAAAAACAATAATTTTTAACTAGTCTCTAGCAACCTAGAAAATAAAGATGACATTTTTCATATAATAAATCTTAAAAAGAGAATAACTATTTTATAAGTAGATGTTGTATCACGTTTATATTTCCAATTATCATGTCTTACAAAGATGCCTTTTGAAAGAATAAAAGCCATTAAAAAAAACAGATGAAGATTTCTAAAAAGGAAAAATATTTGCTTATTTAGAGCTTTCTCTTTATTTCTAAACTCCCTTTAAGTCTGACAATATCTGAAGAGGAATCTAAAATTGAGCAAAAGATCCATTTTTGTGCCTCTGATTAGACTCTTAATTCCCATATTTCAAAACTGAATCGTCTTTTTCAGTTTTGCCGCAACAACTACAGCTCCACATCTTAAGCCATAATCTCCAGTTTCATGTCTGAGGTTGCCCCAAATGGGAGACGGAGCTCTTGGATGTGGCCTTAAGAATACAAGAGGAAAAAAAAGGCGGGGGGAGAGAGGTCAATATTAGGTTAATTTGTGGGAGAATTACATCTTGCTCTTTTTAACTTAAGAAACACAGTGTAGATTGTTTTTAGGTGTTTGATCTCATCTAAACGCTGTTCCTAATTTTCAAGAGAATTGTAACTTGTATTTTCTTAAGATATGTCTGGAAGAGGTTTTTGATGAAGGGTATTTCAAGTCTTATTCAGCATTATTACTTTTAAATCTCCTTTTTTCTTTCCTATGAATTTATCTTGAATTACTTAACCACAGATCTGGGCTTTCCTCAACTGTATTTTTGTTTCCTAGTATCATTTCACTTTACTAAGGTTCTTCTCCATCCAATCCCACCGATTCAATCTACACAATCTCATTCATTCACATTAAATCATGTTCTTTGTAGTTTTTACATTTTAATTAAGACATTCAATAATAAGACCCTATATAGGGAATAACCCTAACATCTCCATGCGTAGCTGCCAACATCTGTGTTTTGGCCGAAATATTCCCGATTTTTCTGACCTTTGTCCTTGGTCTTGTGCAACTACCAAAGCATCCTGCACAGCTGTGTCACATAAATTAAATAAGCCGTGTGATTTATAAGACTTGCAGTTAACTTGAAAGCAATTCCTTTGGTACTTCTGATGCAGCTGCTCTCTATTGTATCCTGCTATTTGCCAGAAAAAGGAGGAGAAAAAAAAAAAAAAAAAAAAAAGCAAAAACAAACGAAAAAAATAAAGTGCAGGGAAAAAAGCCTGGTGTTCAGCAATTGAATATGATTAAAAATAAATAAATAAATAAAATTTTAAAAAACACACTTTCCTTCAGATATGTTTTCCTCACAATTACCTCCTTTGGCCACCTTTGCTCCTCTTTTCCTCCAGGCCTTTCCAGCTCAGTGTAACCAGCTCCTTCCCTCCCCTTGCCGGGGTAGGGTAGGAGTTTCAGGGTAGGAGTTTCAGGCACAAACTCATTGTGAAAAAGAGAGGCTCTGGCCACACCCTTGCTTATAAAGGAAGAAAGTATCAGGCACCCAAATTACAGCTCCCACAAAACTCTTCCCGCCTCTTTAACCGTAGTATTGGGATGTCTTTGGGTCAGAAAGATCTTCAAGAAAATAGTGCAATTCCCTTACGAAAGCAGCTGTTTTATTCAGAGGAGGTGAGCAGAGGCAGTGCTGCTGGGGCAAGCCAAACTCCACCAAAACAACTGATGGAAAAGTTTTTTGAGCAGCTGTGGTGAGGGCTGGCGCCTTTCCGATGCTTGACTTGACTCTGGGAAGGATCTTCACAGCTATCCTAAATCTGTGGCCTCAGCTTCCCTTGCTCTGGCCTCGGGTGGATACAGGCTCGGCCTGCTGGCCTTTATGGTCCTTCCACCTGTCCCCAGACCTGTCCTTTTTAACTAATGGTGCAGGGAAAACAAAGGAAAAAACAATCAATCAAAAACGGAGATGCTTTGCTAAGAAATGGTGACCTCATTTATAGCTATCTTGCATGCATCGCTTCAGTGATGCTATAAAAATAATCCCTTTTCTGGAAAAGTATCTTTAATATCTCTCTGCCATTTGCTGCTCTTACTTTTAATATGCTCACAACAATTTAAGTATATCCTTCTGAATAGCCCCCTTTGCTATGGGCAGTCTTTGAGGGTGATTTTTAGGCTCATCTTGGTACCTGTGTTTCTCCATTTTTTCATGAAGGAGAATGAAAAAAAATATCTACTTTCTATAATACACTAGTGTTACCATCATCCAGGCTTTTATGCTTAGATGCAAGTACTCCTTACAGTCCACAAAACTCTCCTCGCTATTACTTCTGTTCTCTGCAACTCCCTCCCCAACCTTATTTCACTTTTTTTAACTCAAATGCATATTATCACAGAATCACAGGATGGTTGAGGTTGGAAGGGACCTCTAGAGATCATCTAGTCCAACCCCCTGCTCCAGCAGGGACGCCCAGAGCACGGGGCACAGGGTGATTATCAGGGAGGACTCCAGTATTTCAGCTTTTCTCAGGTCTTGATGCTATCCATGCCCGGGCTGCTTGCCGCGCCATTAGCTCGTCCGGACACCTGGACACCTGGACACCACCCATCCCATCCGCCTCCTACCGGAGGAAGTCTCCGTGCCACGTGGGGCAACAAAACGGTGCTATTTGGCCACCATCAGCCACCGACCCACCCCTTCAGGGCACCAGGGACCAGGACTGGGCAGCCACCCTAGAACCTCCCGTGACCCAACCTCCCCCGGAGGGCCTCGTGAAATGTCCACACTGGGCTGGCCGGCTGCTTGCCCCACTCCTAAGTCTCCTGACAGCCTGGAGCGCCGTGCAAAGAAAAAGGTTAAAAACTGCTTCAAGCCTGAAAGCAGCAAAGAGCTCCCCGATTCGGAAAAGATCTTGACCACACTGCACCATCTCAGGGATGATAAGTTACCTTAATATGAGCGTTGTTCAAAAACAACAAACAAGATAAGACAAATTACAGGCCTGCTTTGATTTCTGCTGCTGTGGCGTGGAGAGGACCTACCTCCCGTTGCATGGGTATGGCTTCCTCGCTCTTCTCTCCTCCTGGTATCCATCAGATCCATGATTCTCGTGGTACAAGCGTTGCTTATTTCTGTGTTGCCCCCCCGGATGAGACATCTTGGCTTTTACATGTATTCCTTCAGGCTGAAATAGCTTCCTGAGCCAGTGGGGAAGGAAAAAAAAGTTCATTTTATAACCCCTACTTTAGGTTATTCATTGACCAGCACTTGCAGAACACATCCCTGTCACGTTGAATCAAAATTCAGTAAAGACTTCCTGAAGAACAGAAGGAAGCAAAGGCCTTTAAACCACACTGAAAGCAGCTTCATCAAAGGAGGAAGTTTTTCCTATAATCAACATTTAACACATTTATTTGCTAGGTCTGCTCTCACTCTCCCCTAGCTCTGCTACAAGACAACACATGCTATCCATGCAGAGTATGAAAATTACACTTCTCTGATGTTTCCTCTCAAATACAGCAAACACCAGCACACATATAATCGCCACCAGATCCAGGGCAACTCCGAAGGTGCCGGATGAAGCCTTCCCTGCCCCAGGAGGACGGGAAACGCCAATGGGAACTTCAGCACAACCACGGCAGGCAGTCTGTGGTTTGGAAAAGCGTTACTGACACAACTGTGTTGAGACGCGGTTACGCTTGCAGGAAGACTCTGAAGAATTAGCCTTGATAATTTGGTATTAAAGACTACAGGCACCTTACTTCCAGGAACTTCACAGAAACTATGATGTGCTCTTAAGACTAAATGTACAAGATACGGGAAGGGACAGAGGGGGCATCTTTGCTCTTATTTACCATCCTAACCACCCGTTTTGCATTCTTGCCCAAGTGATTCGGCTTTCGCCCCTCAAGCGAAGACTTTCCTTAAGGGCTCCCCTTCTGCCTCCGTGGGGTGACATGAAAGGCAGGAATTGCCTTTGCTTTTTACGGCCAAAGGGGCAAAGAAGGACGGGTCTCTCTCGGCCAAAGGACGGCCAAAGGGCAAGAAGGACGCGGTCTCTCTCGGGGGAAGCCCAGCCCCACTGCCCTGCGGCTCCACACGCGTCTGGGCTCCCCACGGCGAAAGCACAAGTTCCCCCTGCTCCGTTTGGAGCAAACCCGAGTGCCCTGAAGGGGACGGGGGGAACGAATAACACAGATATCGCTATATTTCGGTGCCGGCACTCACCGCGCGGAGCCGCCGCGGCTCCAGGAAGCAGGAAGCGGCCCGCGGGGCCGGCGCCACCTCCCCCGGCCCGGCCCGGCCCGGCCCCGGTGCGAGGCGGCTCCAGGTGCGCGCCCGCCCCGCGCCAGGTTCGGCTTAACCCAGAAATAAAGAGGTGCCCAGTCAGGACCTGGGAAATGTGGCCTTGCAAGAGGATAAAACTTGGGTTTTTTTTTTTTTTTTTGGGTCTCTCTCGTTTTTTAATCACATCCTCAGCACCAATATTTTTTTTTCCTTTTCTTTTAGAAAGTTAATTTATCTTCTGTCTGCGCTACCTAGCCTTTCAAGTCTCTTGGGTGTATACATAAAAACGCAACAGGATAGAAGGCAAAAAGGAAAAAAGAGAAAGGGAAGAAACTTGCCCCCAGAGGCAAATGGGTAGGAAGAGGCTATTTCAAGACAATTAACCCAGCTAATGGCTTGGAAAAGGAGGCCAGGAACTTCCCCTTGCTGTAAAGCTGGCTTGCGGTGCTTGCGGAGCACCCGACTTGGTGCTCTCCTGCCTCCGTTCGTGGTGCTCTGCTGAAACGCAGGTGGACGTTTGAGGGGTCTCGGCTCCTCTCTGTGGGCCTGTGGTGTGGGACGACAGAAACGGGGCAGTTTCCCTAGCAAAGCAATGAGATGCTGGAACCCTCAGGATGTGTATTCTCCACCCGCTAAAAACAGGCGCTTTTCAGAAGCTCTTGGAGGTGCATCTATTTTGCACAGAACCTGAGGCAGACGCACGAGCCAGTATGGCTATGAACTGCTTTTCATTACTGAGTCTCATTCTGAAATATTGTTTGAGCCTTAGGAGTAGGGCAATGGTGTGGATGTGATACTGTGCCGTGCTAATCTGAGTTTTGGAAAGCTTCCCTAGGCCTGCGGTGCTGCCTTACAGGGACAGCCCTTCACAGCGCTGGGACCAGGAAATCCCTTTCCTTCCTCTTGGATTTGGGTTTAAGATGTGCAACAGTTACAGTGTAATCCTATTCTAGGGCTAAAACCAAAATCCCCTTTAGGTAACGTGTGGGCATCTGAGGAGTCAATGCAATGAGGAGATACCTACGGGAACTGGATATTAGACAAAAATTTGTAAATAGCTGGACCTCAGCAAGACTGCGACTCCCCTCTCCAGCTGAGCTGCATTACAGTGTTTCTAGCAGGTCCCTGTTCCCACATTGCTTAGGCCTCTCTGTTACTGTTCCTGTTTCCAGCTGTGTGACTGCTCTTCTCTCTACCTTGCTCCAGCTCTGCTGCTTGCATGATCACATGGCAAGCCAATTCAGCCTGCTTGCCAGCCAAAAATAATTTTCTTTCTGCTGTTTTACTGAGTTGAATTGGCTTTGGGATGCAATTAAACGTATGCTGGAGCAAGTCCTTGGCAGAAGTATGTGTCCCAGAGGGAAGAAAGAAGAGGAGGGGAGAGGGGTACCTCTCTTGGCAGCGATGAGCAGTTAATTTTACTCAAGCCTTGACATGTGAAGTTGCAGCTTGAGGTGTTACTACCAATCACTTATTTGCTGCTTGTTACTTTTTGGAGTTGTCATCCCCATAGCAGAGACAGGAAAGCAGCAGGAGTGCTTCTTATTCCCAGTCTCTAAGCAAAGGTGGTTTGGGCTCATTTGGCAGATTTAGGTGCCTCTATGAATTCTGCTTTGCTGTCTAGATAATTACATTTGGGAAGTGCTCTCTTTGGTCATGGCCAGAAGAGGTGTCTGCTCTGGGTTGTTGGGCATGGGGGATTTTATTGCTCCTTTAGTGAGCAGCTTTCATATCAACACATGCTCTGCTCTGGTGGCAGAAAAACAAACTAGCCCAAGGGGAGAAAAGTCACAGGGAGGCTTGGCTGGAAACAGAATTTGGGGACGGATTTGAAGTATAGGAATATCTTGACAGGAATTTCCAGACTAGGCAAAATTCAGTGATCCAGGCAGGCAAAATGGGTGTTTAAAAAGTGGTTGGTTAAACACACTGTGGAACCAGGTGGCTGAAGTAACAGGGCCATGATCTGCACAGAATTATGTAGTAAGATTTTCATTAAAAAGTTAACGACGTGACCAAGCAGGTTTTCCATGGGAACTCATAAAATGGATAGTGGGTATTGAGGCAAACTTTGCTGGAGTTTCTTATGTATAAAAGCCAGTGAACCAACCCTTAGAAAATGATGCTGATGAGGGAGAACCAGGCAGAGGTAGTAGAAGTAGTAAGTCTCTAAGGAGAAAAATAAGAAAGAACCTTTGGAGGGACTAGCTATGTAGCAGCTGAATTTGGATGAGAACCATTAAAACAAGACTTGTTTCTTGTGCTTACCGTGATGCGGGAAAAAAAAAGAACTAGATAATGTACGTAAGAAGTTTTGTCTGAAAGAGATACCTGATTCTGTCACCAGTTCCTCCTTGTAGTAGAAATAACTGTTGTAACCAGATTTGGGCTGGCTCCAGAGGGAGTGTTTTGCAGAAAATGAGGTGTTAACCATCTTGATGTATTTTTTCTGATAATTTTCTTGAGCAAGTCAACATGGTCCTGGATACTTGCCCCAGTGTAACCAAAAAGTAAACCCTAGGCCCCAAACCAATCTAGATGTAGGTGCAGCAACTAGGTCTCCAGGGAGAGATTTCTGCAGCCAGGCAGAGCAGGCATCACTGAAGCCAGTTTTTTGGTGGGAACACTGGCTTCCTGAGAACAGTGGGACTAAAATTAACTTTGGAACATTTTTTACTTCTCCCCCCATTCTTTTGCATGAAATCTGTTGTAAACACCAGGAAAAGTATTTGGGTTGAAGGTTTCCTTTTTGATTTTTAGTTTTTCTCTAATAACAGAGGTTTTGAAATCTTCAGTCTTTGGAATGGGAGGTAAACCGGGTTTTGAACTAAGTAATTGGTTATATGTTGGTGATTCTTTTTTTTTTTTCTGTCAGTGTGGAAAGAAAACATCATCATATCAAATACTGCCTGAGCAAAAAATATGCAAAAAGACATGAGTGGCTTTGCATTAATAGTGTATCCTTGATATATGCTATTACAAATATATATGTATATTTTTCTAAGTATCAGAACAGAACATATCCTTAGACCTCTTTTGTTGCTGTATGTGGTGGCAGCATGTCACTTGTTTGCTTGGCCATTGCTTCTTTTCCATGGCTGAGTCCTTCCTGGTGTCTCCTGAGCAGTTGTCTAGTTCTGAGTTAAAGATCGTCCGATGTGGTTTTCTGGCAAGCAGGAGTTTACTGCACCACATCTAGACTGTGCCTGTGGAACAGCCTGCTTCTGGGACACATTAAAACCAGGCTGAATGCAGGCAGCAAGGATGTTTCCATCCAAAACCACTGTTGTGGCCATTTTTCCCTTTCAAAAATGATAAGTAAAAATAAAACAAGTTTTTATTATCTGCAGAACTGCTAGCATTAAAACTTCTCACAGAATCACAGGATGGTTAAGGTTGGAAGGGACCTCTAGAGATCATCTGGTCCAACCCCCTGCTCCAGCAGGGACACCCAGAGCACGGGGCACAGGGCAGCATCCAGGCAGGTTTGGAAGATCTCCAGAGAAGGAGACTCCACAGGGTCCCTGCCTCCCTGGGCAGCCTGTTCCGCTGCTCTGGCACCCTCACAGTGAAGAAGTTCCTCCTCACATGGAGATGGAACTTCCTGTGTTTCAACTTGCACCCGTTATCTCTTGTCCTATCATTGGCCACCACCAAGAAGAGTTTGGCCCCCTCCTCCCTACATTCTCTCCTTGGGTACTTATTCATTTTGATCAGATCTCAGTTTTCTCCAGGCTAAATAGGCCCAACTCGCTTAGTCTTTCCTCATATGATTGATGCTCCGGTCCCTTAATCTTTATTGTTCTACGCTGGATCCTCTCTAGAAGCTCCATGTCCCTC